TGCAGTTGCAAAGATACTTGCTTGGACGAGCCAAGCGAGGCAAAACTGGAAGGTAAATGGTAAATCTTTAGGGGGGGGTTGCATATATATATATATATATATGACATACAGTTTAGAACATACTATATACAACATACTAGAGGCAGTGCCAGGTGGTGCAGCTGTGGTAGCGATGGAAGAGCCTGAACGTAGGGCAGGCTACATCACCGAGTCTTGTTCTGTCCTGCAAAGAGGGCGCTCGGACCTCTCATGGAACTCACGTTAAACCCTAAACACCAAGCCCTAAACCCTAAACCTTAAACCCTAAACCCGAAACACCAAGCCCTAAACCCTAAAGACCAAACCCTAAACCCTAAACACCAAACCCTAAACCCTAAACACTAAACCCTAAACCCTAAACCCCAAACCCTAAGCACCAAGCCCGAAGCAAACTGAAGGTGGCCGGCTTCCAGAAGTTCCTGGAGTCGCGGGAGAACGACGGCAGAGGCTCCGAGTCGCTGTGCATTGAGAGGTTGGGCGTATTTCAGTATGTATATTACTATATTTTATTGTATTATACTTTTTAATTAGTATACATTGTGGTATATCAGAATATTTTTGTATATTATATTATAATTAGTATACATTGCAGTATATCATAGTCTGTTGTAGTATGTTATAGTCTGTTTGGAAGTCAACCCTCCTGGTATCCTCAAGCCCCGGCTAAGCCTAGACCCAACCCAAAATCCCCAGTCCTGAGCCCTATGCCCCTACATCTTTTTAGGGTTTAGGGTTTACCTTAAGAACCCAAAACCTACTTTTTTGTAGGGTCTCTTTTTCAAGCCCATATTAGGGTTTATAATAAGAACCTACAAAAAAGTGGGTTTTGGGTTCTTAAGGTAGGGTTGAGTCCGAGGCCCTGCGTTGGACCCCGGGTCTGAAGTTTGGATTTACTTGGCGGGCTTTGGATTCGGGATTTGCCTCGAGTTCCCGAGCCCTTGACCACGAAGAGGGTTTCCGGTAAGAGGATCCACAAAATATGTATTGAATTATTGTTATGATGACTATTGGTACTAAGCCCTAAACCCTTTCATTGTGGCTGTTATCTGCCATGAGGGATCTCCAGGGCTTTGGGGTTGGGCCTGGAGCCTCGGACAGCACTGGCAGAGGGGACGGCCCAGAGCCATAAGGGTTTAGGGTTTAGGGTTCAGGGTTTAGGGTTTAGGGTTTAGGGTTCAGGGTTTAGGGTTCAGGGTTTAGGGTATAAGCCCTCGTGAATACTTGGCACCTGAGCGCACGCCCTGCACTTGGACGCTCGGTTTTAACTTCAAACGCAGACATGCCCACCCCCACACAAACGGATAGATAGATAAGTAGTTCAAGCATGTCTACAAGTACGCTTCAGTTCAAAGTACTCATGGGTAGATGTAAACAGAAGTGCGAACAAACAAACACACAGTATAAGCAAAGACATCGATAGGTGGGTAGAGATAGAGAGAGAGAGAGAGAGAGACAGAGGGAGAGAGAGAGAGAGAGCGAGAGAGAGAGAGATAGGGAGAGAGAGAGGGAGAGAGAGAGAGAGAGATATATATATATATACATGTATAGGGGGTCATTCCCCTATGCCATAACCCTGGCGAAAGAAAGAGAGAGAGAGAGAGAGATATATATATATATATGTATATCTTTTCTTTCGGTAGGCTGAGGGACCGTTGGTCGCGCCTAATGCAACTGTACAAAGAAAATGAATTATGTATATATATATATATATGCAGAAGCCACATGGAAGGGCCCATGGGCATCCGCCTGATGCCGGACTGCCGGCCGCTCACCGGGCGCCCGGATGACCCGGCCGTCTTCTTCCTCGAAGACCCTGCCGCCAGGTCCGGCTGCGACGGATTTAGGGTTCAGGGTTTAGGGTTTAGGGTTTAGGGTTTAGGGTTTAGGGTTCAGGGTTTAGGGTTTAGGGTTCAGGGGTTCGGGTATAGGGCTTCGGACGGGCTTAGTCCTGCAAGTATAGGTGCAGTGACAACTCTCAGTCTTTGCTTATCAGATCAGGATTCTGGTCATGATCGTCACTATTGTTTTTGCTGATGATATAGGTAATATTGTGAGTAGTGCTGATTTCAGGTAATGCTCGGCTTGGAATATCAGCTTTTGTAGACTCTCGTATGACCAAGGGTTTGCGGCTCGGGGGGGGGGGAGTGGATTGTGTGGGTCTCCGTTGTTGGAGGAGGTTCGGTTTCGATCTTTGAACCTCGATCGCGATTGTCGATGGGAGAGCGGAACGTTGTGCAACGGACAGTGCATGCAGCAACTCTGAAACCAGAAAGCTTGAACAATCATGGCTCTGCCCCCGACTCAATCCCCCAGAAACCACAGTTCACTCAAACCTATTTGTCGGCACATGACCGCAGGAGCAAGGAACATGCAATCGTGAAGACCCTCAAACCCTCAAGGATCAAGTGCCATTGGGTACTGCCCCCACTCAGTAACAGTCGGATGATATTTATAGTATGGATATATTAGGCCCTTAATAGTAGCCCTATTATAGACTGTTACTATATGGGGGCAGTACCCAAAAGTGCCAGATCTAAGCTCCAAAGCTCGAATTGGCAGGGCGGTGTCCATAAATGGCGTCAACGTGGCACGTGGAGTGAAGAGTCCGGAAAAGTGGCGGCATCTTTTAAGCCGCTGCGGAGGCAACTGGGCGGCAGTACAGTAGCATGGGGAGTGGGAGTAGGAGTAGTAGTAGCAGTTGTAGTAGTAGAATAGTAGAAGAAGCAGTAGTAGTGGTAGTAGGAGAATGAGTAGGAGTAGTGCTGGCAGGAGTCGTGGTAGCGGTGGTCGTGGTGGTAGTAGTGATCGCGGGAGTGGGAGCGGGAGCAGGACCAGGAGCAGGAGGAGTCGGAGTAAGGTTGAGTAGGAGGGGGAATCGCAGTGACACTGAGTCCTAGTCATTGCAAGTGTAAAGATGCTACGACCTACCCCAAATGCCTCGATGATTATTCGTAGTCCTGGAGGTTGGGGGAAATTCAATAGTGCAGGCTCAAAGATTGAATGCTTTGGGCTTTGGGGTTCAGGGTTGTGGGTGGCGTGGTGGCTTCATCTTCCGGCTAGAGTCTAGAGCACGCCGCCCAAACCATCAATTTTGCCTTCCTCCCATCGTCGCAGGGTTTGATGTGCGAATAGCTCGAAGAGGAGGTTTTGGTCTTCAACGTTCAGTGCCACAAGCCCCGAGCCTACCACAAGGAAGCCTTGGATTGGAGTCCTAGGCCCTACACCGGCCCAAGAATTCATAACATCCTAAACCCTAAACTTTAAACTTAACTTTTCACTAAACCCCAAGCCACTGCACCCCGAACTGCCAAGCTTTCCCTACCAAGCCCTGAAGGTGCTGCCAAAGCCCTGCGTGCGGGCGCCAACCCCGCGGTGGGGCTTGGGGTCAGAGACGTTGAGAGATTAGGGTTCTGCTTGTGAACGCCGGGTCTCTCCGGCCCCCTTCCTCATTAAAAAAGGTCCTGCGCCATCCTTATTCGTACTAAGCACCTCAACGAAACCCCACTCCAACCTTTCAGGTTGGCGGGATTTGGCGGGTATACGGTCGGGGATGCAAGGTAAGCCGAGTTCCTTCTGCCGAATTGTCGTGCTCAGAGTTCATCGAGTAGGAAGCTTGTGGCCAAACGAAGCAATGCAGCATCACTTGCAGCGCCACACTTCGAGGAGTCAGGGCTTTTGCCTGGCGAAGCCAGCAATTGCCTTCGTGCTCCTGGCCGAGATAACGTCAGCCTCAGCGGAATACATCCTCCACACACAGGGCCTGACCACCTGTCCCGCAGATACACAGCCGGTTCTGTCAGAATCTGACTGCAGAAGCTCTTGGTGTCAGGTACATGGGCACTGAAGACGAACCTGGTTTTCCGAACGGTTGCTATCAATGGACGTTTCTTAACGATGTGTACTTCAACTACAACGCCGGGCGAGGCGAAAGCAACTCAAAGATTGTTTGCCAGGTCGCTGCAACGACCACGACACTATTCTACTCGCAGCAGTTCATCCTTCACTCTTTTGGCTTGATAATCTGTCCCGCAGACACAAGGCCGGTTCTGACAGAATTTGGATGCCTGAAGCCGCAGCAGCTCTTGGTTTCTCGCGAACCGTCTACACTGAAGACTCGCCTTATTACCCGAACGGTTGTTACCGGTACTCGACGGAGGACTTTTAATTCAACTTCAATGAAGGGCAAAGCAACGACCAATCGCAGGTCGTTTGCGAGCTATCTGGTAATGGAACAACCTCGACAACTACAACTTACCTCGGGCAGGGGTACTCCGGGCAGGGGTATATCCTCCAGACGGAGGGCTTGACAAACTGTCCCAACGACACGTGGCCGGTTTGGACACTATCCGGCTGCAGTGAAGCCGCCATAGCTTTGGGATTGTATTTGAGTAGAGACGCAAACGATTCCTCGTATCCGCACGGTTGCTATCTTCACAATATCTCTTCCGAACTTATCGTCAACTACAATGACTACAACGAAGGACGAGGCAACATCAATGCGAGTGTCGTTTGCAAGGAGGGCTTGGGCGCTACTACAACGACCACGACGACCTCCTCCGGCCCCGCATGTTTGCTTCAGATAGACTCGAATGTCTGCCCTGCAGACACAACGGTTCTCACAGAAGTCGAATGCAGAGAAGCTGCAGCAGCTCTTGGTTTCATCTTCCACCTCGCAGCGACAGATCCAGATTATCCGAACGGGTGCTATAAGTGGTTGTCGAATGAAAATTTGTACTTCAACTACCATGTAGGGCAAGCCAGCATAGACGCGATGATCGTTTGCAAGACTTCCACAGTGACACCTACTCCCACAGTGACACTTACATCCTCTGGGCAGGACAACGGGCTTGTTCCAATTTTGATGGGCATTGGCGGAGTCCCGGCGCTGCTGTTATCATTGTGGTTCGCGTGGAAGATCTGTGTCCGTCAGGCCACGCAGACACAGCCGGACCCGGCGGGTGGACCGGTGGCCGTGGTCATCGGTGGCAAAGCGACATTGCGCTCGGACAGCACGGAGCTGGTGGATCCGCTGAAAGAGATGGCGATGAAGAGCCTTCCAAAGTACTGGACTGGATGCCGGGAGAGCGGAAACGATGAAGTCAACGTCAGAGATGACGTGGGTTTCGACGAGCTTATATATGTTCAGCACGAGCACATGGAATTCTTCCAGGATCTGATAAACCAAACGTACCGCAAGATAACGACGCAAGATCGTTTATGCCCGACGGGCAAGCACGACAAGACCAAGGGTGGATGCCCCTGTGTGCAGCCTGGTGGTGATCCTGGCCTGCCTACAGGCTACCAGATCAAGCGCGTCATCCGAGTGGAAGACTCTGCAATGTTCTCTCGCTACATCGATAGACGGGACCAGATCAAAAGGTCGCGTTCGTCTTGTGAAGCTCCGGACCCTGAGATTTTCACACGTGCCGCCATGGAAGCCTCCAGTGGATTGACTGAAGTCCTGTGCGATGTCGATGACGGCATCAACGAGGTTTACCTGTGGCACGGAATGCAAGTTCGAACCGGTCTGGCGATTGCTCAGGATGATTTCAGCCTCAATTTTGCCGGCTCGGGCGCTGGCACGATGTATGGGAAGGGCTTGTACTTCTCGGAGAGCTGCACCAAGGCCGACGAGTATGCCATGGATGAGCCAGGTGGTCACTACGACGGCGTGAGGGGCTTGCTCTTGTGCCGCGTCTGCTTGGGCAACTTCTATTACACCTCGGATCGCGAGCCGTCTGCCATTGACAAGTACACCAATGGCGAGTGTGACAGCACAATCGGCGACCGCGCGAAAGCAGTAAACACTTACCGAGAGATGGTCGTCTACGATCGCGACCAGGTGTATCCTGAATACTTGGTCCTCTACGAGCGCCTTCACAGGGGTGAGACACCCCAGCTGCCGCCGAAGGATGTGCCGTTTTTGCTGGAGCTGCCGCTTTATTGGAGGAATGTCGGCCGCAATCCGTACACGGAGGGTTTCCGAGAGCATTGGATGGTGAAGCCAATGATTCGTGAGCTCATTCAACGCTTGGCCAATGGCTCATGTGGGCGCGATGGAGCAGCGCCGAAGGTGGTCCGCGCGAGGCCCATCGAGGACTCATTTCTTTGGTGTCGTTACATCGACTGGAAGCGATCTTTAGGCACACAGCTCCAGGCCAGCGGAGATCTCAGGTGTACACCTCCAAACGAGTTGGACGGAAATCCGGAATCCGACCACGCACTGACAGCGACCATCTTATCAGAGTTCCACGGCGACGAAGCCATCTCCGTAGAGAACATGGCGCCAGGGTTGAACAAGACACTTCTCTGGCATGGCACCTCGCAGCAGGCAGCGGACGCCATCGCCGAGATAGGATTCGAGGTCAAGAAGAGCGGCACACACGGTCGTCGTTTTGGCCATGGGGTTTACCTCGCAGAGGACCTGAGCAAAAGCCTCAGCTATTGTAGTTCAAGTGGCAACGTCAAGTATGTTTTACTTTGCCGGGCAGTCTGTGGCCACATACACTACACCGAGGAGAAGTCGCATCCGGATGCCACGAGCGAAGCTGCAAAACGGGGCAAGCACTGCGTATTGGCGAATCCAGAACGTTCAGGTCCCAGAGAGTATATCGTTTTGGAGACAGGACATGTGTATCCGGAGTACATCGTCGAGTTTGAAGACTGAGCCTTGCGCGGGGCCACCAAAGCCCTCTGTCCTCATGCCTGTATCGATAGTTACCTTGAAAGTGACCCTTATAGCCTTATAGTGGCCCTCATTATCGTTGCCCTAGGGGCGCCTTCGAGCCCTCGTCGTATCCCAACAGTAAGTTTAACTTTCCGAGCGAGTCGAGCGCGTTGTCAGTGATTAGTGGTGAACCTCGAGTAGTATGGCGAATGCCTGTCGATAAGGAGGTCCGTATTGCCAGCCTATACCTTGAGGACAGGTACACAGGGTACTCCTTCAAGCGCTGATTCCGATAATGCCTATAATGTTTGGCGGCAGGCGAAACCATGCTCAAAGCGGTTAGGAACACGATCAGCCCAATATGAACCTTTAGGGGATGCCTCCGCGGAACCCTGAAAGGGCAGGAGCCCTTCAAGGACCCACTTAATGACCTCGAAGAACTCCCATTTTCCGGGTCTTCTCTTAGTACTACTCCTGTCCTTCGGGCTCCTGAATATATTATATGTAGAGAATATAACCCCCTATGAGCGGTACCGTAGTATACCCTTATCTTGCCCTGACGGTCGCTCACCGGCAAAGCAACTCTGCTGGATCGCAGGTGTGAGATGCTCGTGTTTCATACAGCTTTGGATAGATAGATAGACACATAGATAAGATAAGATAAGATATAAACAGCGCTACAGGGGTTCCAAATGCCGGGCACCAGCACTAGGCCAAACGGGATTGTCAGTCAAAAGACAAGTCCGGTCGATTCTGGTACATCCTTAAAGGATTTGCCTCCTGGTCCCCCCGAAATGCGGTGACCAACGCCTTGCAAGTGAAATTCGATCTCTTGCCTCGATTCTGGTACATCCTTAAAGGATTTGCCTCCTGGTCCCCCCGAAATGCGGTGACCAACGCCTTGCAAGTGAAATTCGATCTCTTGCCTCGATTCTGGTACATCCTTGAAGGATTTGCCTCCTGGTCCCCGCGAAATGCAGTGACCAACGCCCTGCAAGCGAAATTCGAGTGCCTGACCTTGGTTGTACTGATTCCCCCACAGCCACAGCCCTATAAATTCTTGAAGCAACAAGGGAACCCGCCACCCGTCACAGCAGGACTTCGACCCTAAACCCTGCAAGTGATTGAATC